TTAACATAAAACAGGTCCTTATGGTCCTGGCTCCTTGTCCATTCTGGGGAGCGCCAGTCCGGTTCCTATTCCACCGGCAAGTCAGATTAAGATCCTTCCGTCTGGCCGAAGGAACCCTGACCAGCATTGATCACTCCAGCATCGTGGAGGATCGACTGTCAGCTTGCCTTACTTCCACCCTTCCTCTCAGTTCCACTGCAACGCCTCTGAGTTGTGACAGTCTTTCCCCCGTTTAGCTGTTGATCTCTGCTGCTTTGCCCCCTGCGAGCCACACCTTGGTAAATTTAACCTTAATTCTCTTCTGTTGCTCTTCGTCATCGGGCATGGAGTGTCTCGTCTTATGCCATTGGCAAAGAATCTCTGCCTGAATCCAGGTCCTTGTCTCCGCCCATACCTTCTCCGTTGGAGTAGCAAGTCCCTCAATGGTTCTGCAGCACCTTTCCTTCCAGATGGATCTGTCTGATCATACCGAACCGCGTCTTCTCTGTCTTGTGGAATTGGGCTGGGATGTTAGTCCATAGGAGGAGTTGGATGGGGTGTTCAGGGAGGGGATTCGAGAAGAGGGAATCCCAGAGGTCCGAAGCTCTAGCGCAGTATTCTTTCGCCTCTCTACAACGTATTAGGAAATGTTGCATATCTTCTGGTTCATTTTCAGAACATACGACGCATGAATCTGAGCTGTTAGGGTCGTTCTTACTTCTTTCTGATATGCTGCCACTGGTTGACCGGCAGGCTTCTTCTGATTTTGACTCTGGTCGGATTGGCTTGAACTTTTTCCATGGTGTTTGTGAGATCTGACTGGCGTCCTGATCTATTAACTTCTGCCATCTGTTTTTTTTTTTGTTGGATCAGGATCCTTTGTCTTGAGGAGTAGTTTACATGCCAGGTTGACTGTGTATTCCTGGATGTGCACGTTCGTTTTAAGACTTCTGCTTCTGTCTGTCTGGTGTCGAAGCCCATTCTGCCTGGTCGAATTCCAAGTCTCGAGTCACCATAATACCATATCCATTCTGAAGAAGATTGTTTTGGGGCATGCCCCCAGAACTGTTACTTTCCTGAGAATAAACGAATCTAAGACTGTTCTTTCCACGTCAGTATTCAGAATGGATGAAGAGCCGTGAAGTGATGAAGTGATTGTGAAGGAGGTAAAGACAGCGTTGAAGGCGGGTGTTAAGTTCGTGATTGGTCAGCCAATCTTCTTTTTCTTCATCCCATCTATGACTCACTTTCCAGATTCCATGTTTTATTCATGACAGCCATCGCATACCCCTTGGTTTGAGGGAGAGCGAGTGGTCGCTCATCTCTTACCCAAGGGTTGCCGAATAGAGGTTGCCTCAGTACCTCCGTGTTGGACTTGGATTTACCTACCTTCTTAAGCATAATTATTAGTTTCCCACCATATCTGAAGCAAGGCTGTCCAGTAGGGTGTGGGAGGCCTGGCTTGATTTGGACGAGCTCCTCTTCTTTGATTTCTATGCCCTGTTTTTGGGCTCCATTGAGGCCGCTACTGGGGCCCTGTTTGGGGGCCCAGCGGTTGTTCCAGGCCCCCAGGCCGCATACCCATTTTTGGTGAGTGACCTGGAGGCCCACGGCCATGTTTCCAGGCAGGGCACACATTTGTTTCCATGTGTGCTCTCCTTTATTCAGCATTTATGATTTTTGCTGGGTTTTGTCTGGATTTCTTTGTCTGTTTCAAATGTATCGGCTCGGACTTTTCCTGTTGTCCTAACAGGCAGATGCCTGTTCGGACCAGTGGATTTCAGTTTCGTCCATTGTAGGCCAGGTTCAGATTTGTCCGTATGTGGGACTGGACCAGGCATTCGTCTGTTTGGACCTGGCCCAGTCCGCAGGACCCTGCTGGATCAGCAGGGTTGCCTGGACGTCCGGTAGGGACCCAGGCAGGCCGTCTTTGGCCAGGATCGTAGGACCAGGACTTGGGCCTGTGATCAGGACCATCCATTGGACATCAGATCCGACGGTCCTGATTGCAGGTCGAGGACTGCTCAGCCAGGCTCAGCAGTATATAGCTGGGCCAGTCCTCCACTTTGGGGATGCATTCGGGCTGGAGCCTCAGTTGGGCGTCACGCTTCTGCAGCGGTCCCAGTTTGGGTGAGAGCTGCGATAGAGCAGCGCTGGAGGAGTAGAGGAGTAGGCTGGAGTGGAGAGGTTTGGCGGAGGCCATGTCCACGAGGGGGAGAGAGACTTACCTGGGCGTCATAGCTGGGACTTCATACCGGTCATGGGACCGGCCAACCCGCATCGGGAGTCGTCACCTTCGCTGGTCAGTATTTGTGGCATCGTCATTAGGAGCGCACGAAAGAGAATAGTTCTTCTCCTCCTGCTCCTCCTCCTCCTGATTCTTCTCCGCTCCTCCATAGCCACTATTCTTCTTCTTCTTCTACTTCTCCTCATCCCTCTTTTCGTCTACCTCTTCACACACACACACACACACACACACACACACACACACACACACACACAGAGAGAGAGAGAGAGAGAGAGAGAGAGAGAGAGAGAGAGATTTCAGGCAGTGACTATTTCGCGCCTATGTGGACCAAGGATCTGATACAATTTTTTGAGGACGGACATTGGCTGGACGTTTGACGGGGAGACCATTTCTCGGATGACTTCGAGTTCTACTCTTGTTTTCTCTTCCCTCTCCACCTTTGTCTCTCCTTCCCTCCATCATCCATGGTTTCTTCCCTTGTGTGTGCGCAAGGAGGGACCTTTCTTCTGTGTACAAGTCCCCGCCTTGCTGTGTGACATGTGTGATGATGATTGTGTGAGTCGAGTCTGGATCTGATGTGTCAGGTCCTATCTTTGAGTCTTCCGCTGCGCTACATTGCATTGTATCGTTTTGTTCAAGTCCTGTTCATCACACTGGTGCTCCTTGGACATGTGCATTTCTCGTCTTCATTCGAGCACGCATCAGATTACAGGGACTTGAGGAGAAAAACAAAGGGAAAGGGTGCTTTGACACTGCCATATCAGGAGAGGGGAGTGTCAAGGGGCAAGAGAACTCCGATCATCAGACAGGATGCTGTTGTCTGGAGGGAGGGAAAGTAGGAGTCCCAACTGGCAGAACATCAAGGGATTAGAGGGAAAAGCTATCCTGGGAAAATTACAGATGTGGTACAGCAGATGCATCATTGCCATAAAAGAGGGCAGGGATGGCGGGGTAATGAGAGGAGAGAGAAAAGGGAAAGGGTGCTTCACTGCTTTGTTGGTGCGCAGGGTTGCAACAGCAAAAAGTGGGCCCTCAGAGTGCACATGCAAGGAAATATCAACAGCAGATGTCATAACATCCGGAGAGGAGTGTACACCGACGATTGAAGCAGGAAGGAAGGGAGAGAAAGGGCAGTAAAGGGTTCCATTCTAGGGGGCGCAAAAAAAAAAAGAACAGAACATCAAAAGGACTGACAGATGTGTTTGGTTGCCGAATTGCAGGTCGACAGCTCAAATCGGCAGCAATTTGTTGATTTGCTGGTTAATAAGAGGCTGGTGGCCCCAATGCTGCCACAGGCCCAAGCTTTTGCGAAGGGCTTCTCTGATCTCATGGACAATGGGATGCAGCTCTCCCATTTTCTTCAGCCTCTGGAGCTTGAGGACCTTGATCTTGTTATCTATGGCGAGGAAAAGGATATTGACATCGATGATTGGAAAGCGCATACGACTTATCATGGGCACCTGTCATCTAGTCATGTGGTATGTTCTGTTTTGCCGCAGCTTTGACTTCTGGTTGTTTAAACATGTTTTCTGTCTTTCCACTGCTCAAGTTTTTTGTAGTATTTTACTATTTTCACAAATTTTCAGGGCAGTGTGTTCTTGTTCTGGTTTTTTTTTTTTTTTTTTTTTTTTTTTTTTTTTTTTTTTTTTTTTTTTTTTTTT